GTATACAATGAACATAAACTCGGGCAATCTCCAGGAGATGATGAGGGACAGGGAGGCCCGGTATGCTACAGTCCAGGGAGTAGCAAACAGTCGGACATGACTTGGCAACTAAACAACAACAACAACAATATTCCATTGTAAATATGTAACACATCTTCTTTATCCATTTCTCTCTTAATGGACATTTAGGTTGCTTCCATGTCTTGGCTACTGCAAATAGTGCTGCAATTTTTAAAAAGGCTATCATGGCTTACTCTTGTGGTTCTCAAAGTAAGGGTCACAGACCAGCAGCTTTAACATCACCTGAATACTTATGAGAAATGCAGAATCTTGTACCTCAACTCAGATCTAATGAGAAACTCTGGTAGTGGAGTCCAGTTATCTGCACATAAACGAGCACTCTGGGTGATTATGACATATGATTAAGTTTCCAAACAACCAATCGTAGCAATGTTTTAGGTCTCAGAAGCTGTTCTGGCTCCAAAGAGTGAGTGGCACCTTTATCTGATTATCTCATACAAATTTATTCCATCTGCAATTATCCATTTCTCCAAATTGGTAACTATCTCAAACTATTTCAGGGCATCCTAGTGGGGGTTCTGTTTTAACCTTACATCCAAATGGTCAGCATTCTTTCTCCTTCTTGTGCAAAGTTCCAGCAAGATTCCATTATGTTACACACAGCCTCCCTGCATTATGGACAATGTGATCCTCTGAACATTTAAAGGATGCTCAGAGAATCTGTGCAAGGATGCAGGACCCAGGAAACAAACAGGTGGGGTTATTGAGAGAGAAACATGGCAAGCAGTGACCTCAGCAGCCAAGTGAAGAACACTATGATGGGCAGGAACTGTGGGAAGGACTCAAAAACAGTTCTTTCTCAGTCACTTTCATGCCTAGTAGACTTGTAATGACACCACAAACACCAATAAAAATGGTACAGGACAGCGGTTCTCCAAGTGTGATCCCCAGTCCAGAAGCAGCAGCATCACTTAGGAACTTGTTAAATAGGCTCCATCCCAGATCTACTGAATCAGAAGCTCCAAGGATAGGGACCTTGCCACCATATAGCGGCTTTGATCACACTCAACTTGGAGAACCTCTGGTGCATTTTATAGAAGCTTGGGCTCTTGAGTAAGACCATCACATATACACTAACATGCACAAAACAGCTAGCTGGTGGGAAGTTACTGTATAGCTCAGGGAGTTCATCTCAGTCTCTGTGATGACCTAGAGGGGTGGGATGGGATGGGAAGGGTGGGAGGGAGGCTCAAGAGGGAGGGGGAAACTAACATAACATTGTACAGCAATTATAATTCAATTTAAAAAATCATCAATTTCAAATCCTTTAGGTAGCTAGTGTTAGTTGCTCAGTCATGTCTGAGTCTTTACTATCCCATGGACTGCGGCCCATCAGGCTCCTCTGTCCATGGAATTTTCCAGGCAAGAATACTGGAGTGGGTTAACATTCCTTTCTCCGGGGGATCTTCCCGCCCCAGGGATCAAACGTAGGTCTCCCGCATTGCAGGCAGATTCTTTACTATCTGAGCCACCAAATCCTTTAAAAATATTGAAATCAGAAAGTCTGCATAAGCTGCTATGCCAGTCTTGGGCTATAGTAAGCATTCAACACAAATTTCCTCCCCCCTGCCTCTTCCATCTCTTCCTTCATTTTCTTCTTCTTCCTCTTCTTCTCCTGCATTTTCAGTGTTATCACCATCAGCTGCAGCGGCAGCAGCATAATATGCAATAGTGGCCAAAATGACATCCCCAGATCCAAGGTTTCCATGTTGGCCGTCCTGCAGTTCCCGTGCCTTCTCTGGCAGGAGAGGGGAGAGGATAGATGTGAAGCCCCAACTCTAGCACAAATGCAAAAGCATCTGTGCTCAGAGCCCACAGCCCAGGTGCTGGGAGGTTCTGCAGGCAAGAGAAACCTGGCCACCAAGTGCAGAGTCTGCCTCCCTCACATTCTGCTTCCAGTCCCAACAGTAATTGAAGGCTGGGAGCTCGTTGTAAATTTGCTTAATTGGGCAGTTGAGGTCTTTATCGACCTGCTGAGAAACTGCTTCTAGAAGCCTGCTCCTAGGCTCACAGCCGCTTTTATGCCTGGGCTTCACTTCGCATCTTCTCCACCCTCTCCGTGTCAAAGGCCTGTACCTCTGGGATCAACATCTTCTCTCCTTTCTGCTCTTTTGCTATTTAAAAAAGAAAAATACAGATATGAGAAACAGTCAAAAATACAGAGGGAAGGGGCAGAGCTGCTGGCTGCAGCACCCGAGCTGGAGTAGGGGGCTGTGAGAGATCAGCAAAGCAGGGGGCAGTTTCACAAGCGCTGGGAGAAATTCGGGATTTGATGAACACAAAGTATGGTGCAACCTGGAAAAATTCAGAGCATTTCCTCATCCAGAGGGACAGAATGGAAAAGGTAGCTATTTCATGACCGAGAAGCTCTGAAAACTGTAATGATGGAGAGAAACCCAGAGGTGATAGCAGACAGAAAATCAGATATTGGCTTGCAGCACAATATTATGTTATTGTTTAGAGGGGAGAAAGCTTTTAAAAAATGGTTAGAGTCTATGGATACCATGGTTGGAAAACGGCACTCTGGTTGACTGCTTCATTACCCCAGATGTACTCAGGTGGAGAGAGATTGGAAGGTGTCCAGAGAGAAGCAATGAGACCAATGAAAGGAGTGCAGAGACTAATATGAAGACATTAAGCATTGTTTAGGCTTCCCTGGAAGCTTGGCTGGTGAAGAATCTGCCTGCAACACAGGAGACTCCGCTTTGATTCCTGGGTTGGGAAGATCCACTGGAGAAGGGAACAGCTACCCAATCCAGTATTCGTGGGGTTCCCTGGTGGCTCAGCTGGTAAAGAATCTGCCTGCAATGCGGGAGGCCTGGGTTTGATCCCTGAGTTGGGAAGATCCCCTGGAGAAGGGAACAGCTACCCACTCCAGTATTCTGGCCTAGAGCAATTCCATGGACGGTATAGTCCATGGGGTTGCGAAGAATTTGACACCACTGAGTGACTTATTTTCACTTTTCAAGCATTGTTTAGTCGCTAAGTTGTGTCAGACTCTTTTTTGACACCATGGACTATGGCCTGCCAGACTCCTCTGCCCATGAAATTTCCCAGGCAAAATACTGGAGCAGGTTGCCATTTCCTTCTCCAGGGAATCGTCCAGATACAGGGATCGAACCCCATTTCTCCTGCATTGGCAGACAGACTCTTTACCACTGAGTCACCAGGGAAGTCCAAATAAGAAGACAGAAAGGAACATAATGTGTGTGAAACACGGCTGCTTTGGCCCCAACAGAGGGTGGGTGAACAGATGATTGGTGCTTGGGAGGCCCTCACATAATCCATGGAGGACACATAGGCAGCCTTGCACGATGGTGCCTGCGTGTGTGTTAGCCACTCAGTCTAGTCCGACTCTTTGCGACCCATGGACTGCAGGCCACCAGGGTCCTCTGTCCATGGGATTCTCCAGGCAAGAATATTGGAGTGGGTTGACAGTCCCTTCTCAAGGGGTTCTTCCCGACCTAGGGATCAAACCCAGGTCTCCTGCATTGCAGGCAGATTCTTTACCATCTGAGTCACCAGGGAAACCCACAGTGGTGCTTACATTAGCCCTAATCAAGTGAAATTAAGGAATGTATTCTTTGGTTGAAATCCAGGAAACCCTCAACACATATTCCACTGGGGCACAGATCAGTGACAGCTTTTGTAGGTGCTACTCCCTTTGCTTGGGATGTTCTTCCTCTTAAACTTGGCATGACCGGCTCCCTCAATAACTCAAGTCTCAGCTTAGGTGTCACCGACTCAAAGACCTGACCTCTCCAAGAGAAGACCTTCTCTCTGCCCATGCAGGAGTCACTGTGGACCTCTGCCCTTCCTCTATTGATCCCACAGAGCAATATGAAATTATCTTCCAGACTGAATTATTTGCTTCCTTAGTGTCTGACTCTTTGCTGGAACATTTGCCCCCAAAGGTCAGGGATCTTGTCTATCACATCCACCGTGAGGTCCCAATAACTAATCACTATTCCAATAAACACTCGCGCTCATAAAGCAGTGAAGTCATGGCAAATACCCTGCTAAAAGAGATGTGTCTATGTTAACTTATCCAGGCCATGTAGAAAACCTAGATTTTATCACTTTCATGTTTTTTTAAAGAGGAAGAAGGCTGAAACCCAGAGAGATTGAGTCACTGCACAGCAATAGGCACGAGATGTGAGATCTAAAGCCAGGTTCTCTAGCTTTAAAATCAGCACTAATGCATGCATGTGGAGTCTAGAAAAATGGTACGGATGAACCTATTTGCAGGGCAGGAATAGAGATGGAGATGCAGAGAACAGATGTGCATGGGATGGGGATGAATCGGGAGATTAGGATTGAAGTATGTGCTCTGCCATGCGTAGATTGCTGGAGAGGATCTGCTGAATAGCACAGGGAGCTGGGCTTGGTGCTCTGTAATAACCTAGATGAATGGAATGTGGGGATGAGAGGGAGGCTCAGGAGGAAGGGGACATATGCACACATGTGGCTGACTCACTTCGTCGTGCAGCAGAAACTAACACTGTAAAGCAACTGTACCCCAATAACAAAACAGCAACGCTGGATCCCGGCACTCAGTGTGGACCCCCTGTGCGTGCGTGCTCAGTCATTTACGTCGTGTCCAATTCTGTGCGAGCCCATGGACTGTAGCCTGATGGGCTCCTCTGTCCATGGGATTCTCCAGGCAAGAATACTGAAATGGGTTGCCACACCCTCTGCCAGGGGATCTTCCCAACCCAGGTGTACCCAATGAATATGTATTAAATAAGTGAGTCAATCAATACACGAGTGAGTGAAGGAATGAGGATTTGAGTCCAGAATATCTGCCCAGAGCAAGAAGCAAGAAACATACTGAGATTTCCCAGCTCTGTGAAGGGTGAGTCCTAAATGACATCCTTCAGATGCCATCCAACTACAGAGGCAGTCCCCGTGCAGATTACCTGTATGGTGCTGAAAAGGATCTCCATGCCCTGAGCTGCCAGGAAGGCCTCCCTGCCCGACCGGAGCTTGGCAATACGCTTGAGGCAGAGCAGAAGCGCCCAGCGGATCAGAATGAAGGAATTGGCTGTGTCGTGGCTGTGCCAATCCTGATGCAGCCTGAGCAAACTGGGGACATAGCTTCTGTTCACTGCCCTGCGGCTGTTAGACTCTGAAACCAATGGGAAAACACAACATCAGTCAAAGGCTCTCTTGCGCATACCCCCCTGAGGATGCCCCAGTGTGCGTGCATGCTAAATCCTCTTAGTTATGTCAGACTCTTTGCAACCCCATGGCCTATAGCTCACCAGGCTCCTCTGTCCATGGGATTCTCCAGGCAAGAATACTGTCTTAAGTTGCCATGTCCTCCTCTAAGAGATCGTCCCCTCCCAGAAAATACTAATTAACCATAAAAGGATGACACTAATTTTCCAGTGTATAAACTGGTATCCAGTGGCAGATATCAGCTTAATCAAGTGACCAGGGTCAACAACGTCAGAGAAGATGTCCTGAGAAAGACACAGCATTGCTTGAGCTTTACTACTATGGTATTCCTGAACCAAAATGCATAACCTGAACATAACCACGAGGAAAATCAGCAAACCCAAAATGGGGGATATGCTGTACATATCTGATCTACATTTTTCAAAAATGTCAAAGTAGTAAATGGCCAAAAAAAAAAAAAAAAGATCAAGGAATTCAGCTAACAAAGACCAAAAAGTCATGACACAGGGATATACGTATACATGTAGCAGAATAAAACTCAATATTCAGAAAACTAAGATCATGGCATCCAGTCCCATCACTTCATGGCAAATAGATGGGGAAACAATGGAAACAGTGATAGACTTTTTATTTTCTTGGGCTCCAAAATCACTGCAGATAGTGACTGCCACCATAAAATTAAAAGACGCTTCCTCCTTGGAAGGAAAGCTATGATCAACAGAGACAGCATATTTAAAAGCAGAGATATTACTTTGCCAACAAAGGCCCATCTACTCAAAGCTATGATTTTTCCAGTATTCATGTATGGATATGAGAATTGGATCATAAAGAAGGTTGACTGTTGAAGAATTGATGCTTTTGAACTGTGGTGTTGGAGAAGACTCTTGAGAGTCCCTTGGGCTGTAAGGAGATCAAACCAGTCAATCCTAAAGGAAATCAACCCTGAATATACATTGGAAGGACTTAAGCTGAAGCTGAATCTTCAATAGTTTCACCACCTGATGCAAAGAGCCAACTCATTGGAAAAGACCCTGATGCTAGTGGAGGACTGAAGACAGAAGAAGAAGGGGACAACAGAGGATGAGATGGTTGGATGGCATCACTGACTCAATGGACATGAGTTTGAGCAAGCTCTGGGAGATGATGATGGACAGGGAGGCCTGGCGTGCTACAGTCCATGGGTTTGCAAAGAGTCGGATGTGACTGAGCAACTGAACAACAATAGCAGATTCATATTACTGAACAGCAGAAACTAACACAATATAACACAATAGCAAAGCAACTATACTTCAATAATTTTTTAAAGATATGGCATGTAAGTACAATATATAATTATAATTTAGTCCCTGGACCAAAAATAATTTTTTTTTCTTTTCCTACATAAGGCATTAGTGAAGCAGTTGGTAAAATCTGAATAAAGTGTTTAGATTAACCCAGTGTTGCTTTCCTGCTGGCTCCATGGTTAAGAATCTGCCTGCAATGCAGGAGACCTGGTTCAATTCTGGGTCAGAAAGATGCCCTGGAGAAGGGAATGGCTACCCACTCCAGTATTCCTTCCTGGAGAATCTCATGGACAGAGAGCCTGTTGGGAGTCCATGAGGTCACAAAGACTGAGCAACTAGCACACTTCCTTACACACTGTTTCTTCTCAGGTGGTTCAGAGGTAAAGAACTCACCTGCAGTGCAGGAGACCTGGGTTTGATCCCTGGTCAGCAAGATCCCCTGGGGAAGGAGAAAGCAACCCATTCCAATATTCTTGATGGGAAAATCCCATGGACAGAGGAGCTTGGTTGGCTATAGTCCATGGGATTGCAAAGAGTGGGGCACAACTGAGTGACTGAGCATGCACCCACATATCAGTTCAGTTCAGTTCAGTCACTCAGTCGTGAACGACTCAGATATTATGTAAATGTATATCATTGGATTTTGATAAGCTATGCTTAGGTAAGTGAATATTCTTGCTTTAAGGAAATCCACAATTGTGCATGTCTATAACTTATCACAAAATCTCAAATAGTTCAGAAAAAGGATAATTGAGGGTGGAGGAGAGAGAAGAAAGGAGAAAGAGATTCACCAGATTTCCATTCCTTTTTCTTCAATCTCAGTGGACTTGGGATATGGTTATTTGAGCAAACTATAAGGCTCAATCCAAATGAAAAGGAAAGGACCCTGAGTGAGAGACATAATGTCGGGAAAGCTGTCGTGTGTAACAGATGTGTGTTTTCCTGAAAGAGACTGGAAGCCAGTTTATATATCATCAAGGGGTTGGCTCCATCTGGGAAAGCAATTTCTCAGAGTCAAGCCACCCAACAAGAGACTGGACTCATATGGTGATGAGCAACCTGGCACCAAAAATACCCAGACAGAGGCTAGAAGTCGACCCAGCAGGGATGTGAGGATGGGGCTTCCTTACATCCTTCAGGGAGCTGTAATAGTATGAATCTTACAGTGCCTTTCCCCTCTTCCACACCACAACTACAGTTTCTTTAATTTTTTACATTGGAGTATAGAAAACTACCAATGTTATGACAGTTTTAGGTACATAGCAAAAGGACTCCTCCATACATACACATGTATCCATTCTCCCCAGAACTCCCCTCCCATCCAGGCTGCCACATAACATTAAGCAGATTTCTGTGTGCTGTACAGTATCGCTGTATAATGGAGTTATTCAATGTACACACTTGAAGCTATATTTAAAATGGATATATAGCAAGTGTGTACATGTTGTTAGTTGAATGACTCTACCTGAGACCTCCCATAAGACCCCTCTGATTGATGTCTGGTTTCTTCATTTTCCCAAGATATGGTCTTTTATTTATTTTTTAAATATTATTTATTTATTTGGCTTCCCAGGTGGCACTAGTGGTAAAGAACATGCCTGCCAATGCAGGAGATGGAAGAGACACAGGCTTGATCCCTGGGTTGGGAAGATCCCCTGGAGAAGGGTGTGGAAACCCACTTAAATACTCTTGCCTGGAGAATTCCATGGACAGAGGAGCCTGGTGGGCTATAGTTCATTGGATCGCAAAGAGTAGGATCGGCGAAGGCAATGGCAACCCACTCCAGTACTCTTGCCTAGAAAATCCCATGGATGGAGGCACCTGGTAGGCTGCAGTCCATGGGGTCATGAAGAGTTGGACACAACTGAATTGCCTTAGCAGCAGCAGCAGCAAAGAGTAGGATACAACTGAAGTGACTTAGCATTTATTTATTTGGCAAAGTAACGTCTTAGTAGTGGCACTTCAGATTAATTGTTGCAGCAGACTCAGTAGTTGAGGCTTAGTTACCCTACAGCGTGTGGGATCTTAGTTCCTCAACCAGGGATCGAAACCATGTCCCACACATTGCAAGGCAGGTTCTTAATCACTGAATCACTAGGGAAGTCTCCTCAAGATACAGCTTAAATTCTCTTTGAAGAAACAAAGGGGGGAGAACGGTCTAAGATACTTCTCTCAACAGCACACATACTCCAGTTTTCATGTTAAACTCCTCACCCTACAGGGTTGGCAGACAACCAACTACTTGTGGATTAGTTCAGACCTACTTAGAGGATGGGTAGATCCTCTCTGGATTGCGGTTCTCTCTGCCCTTGTCAACTAGGTGCCCTGTAGAACTCTAACCAGATGACTCTCAGGCACAAGGGCCCATATCTTTTATCTTGCAGCTCTGCGCTCTCAAGACTACATGTCTGCATTATCCATACTGTTTACACTGGTTTATAGACAATCTATGCTTCTGGCCGTGTGTGAGAGGGAAAGATCCCTTGTGCTATAATTGGAAAAGCAAAGTTTCAGCCCCAAGTTAGATTTTTCCCTAAGACCATGTAAATGCCCATGAGTAAAAAAAAAATGACATAGAAATTGTGTTTTATTCCAGAAGGGTTTTCTCATAATGTTAATAGAATTCTCGTTTTATCCAGCTTGTTTGTCAAATTCTAAACTGTCAGGCTTGACTGAGCCCCACTGAGATTATTTGACCCATTTGTGCAGTTTTTTGTTTTGTTTTTTTTTTTCCACTTTTCACAACATTTCATTTAGCCATGACCCTGAACTGAGAGCGATGAGCTTTACTCACTCTGTGATGTATTTGTGGTGGACAGTTTAAATCACCTTCATTACCTCTTTTAATGAATTATTCTTTTGTATCAAAAGTATTTCTCTTCTCGGCTGGTCATGGCCACAAAGCACTAGAGTTCTTTACTGCCTAAATGAGGTTCCAGCCTAGCCAATATCTGCTGTTTAAAAGAAAATTGAGGATTAAGTAGGAGGCATTAAAGCAAAGTATCGCCTGCTAAGAAGATGACAGAATGGCAAAAAACAGTGCACAGAGGCCCCGTGGCAGTGGGAGGTTAAGCATTTCTGTCTTTCATCTATTTTAAAGGTATGAGACGAACAATGTGTTATCCTCATGACCTTCATCTCTGGCTTTGTGGGGAGGGGGAGGGAGATATGGGGGGAAAAAATCTTTAATTATCTGCTAGAAAAATCCCTTATCAAATCCCCATGATTTTATTCATGGTTTCCTGCTAATCTTCAGCAAGCTGTCATGTTTACTAACATCGAAAACAGCTACACCTCTCCTCCACCCCCAACCCTAAATCAGTCAGTCTTTCTCTGGGGATGGCTTGGGAGCTTTGCAAAAGTCAATATGCATCTAAAACCTGGCCAAGAGGAGAGTCATCAAGCTGAACCAATGCAGAGAGGACCCAAAGAATGAAATGAAGGTGGCTGGAATCAGCAGTTTCCAGGAGTTCCAGAAGGTTTAGGAGGAAGACAGTGCTTCTCCTGGGGAGGCCAGATAGCAAGGAGAAGATGTGGGCTTTCATACGCTGTTTTGGGCGAGCTCAGGGTTTGGGGGCGGGCAGGTGAGGATCCTCCAACCCCCTTTAAAACTGACAAGCTGCACTTTAGCCTGTTTATATAAATGGCTTCCTCCTAAGATTTT